CCCTAAAGAATCATATCAACTTGTGGAAAATGGGCATCCTATGACCCCTTTAAAGCACCTTTTGCAGGAAACATCAATTGTTAAAAAAAAAATAGATCTGACCCCTTTAAGTGAAACTAAATTTGCATCTCTCTCTGTCTCTTTTCTTTCATTTGTTGTCCTCATCTTTCTCTCTCTCTGTGACCTTAATTTTCATTTACCTGCTTTGTGTTGTTCCCACTCTCTGGTCCTGGGTGTCTGATTTCTGGTTATTTTCCCAGAATTCAGTGAGCGTGTTGTTTGTGCGTGTGTGTGCTGGATTAGATTAAGAGGCGTCTCAGCCTCAGGAGCTGAAGCACGTGTGTGTGTAAGGCCAGGTTCTTCAGTCACTCTACCCCATGGGACACAAACAGACACCACCCTTGTATTGTCTTAGAACAGGAAGTGACATGGTGTCTCACAGAATGTCCCTTATTCCTCCTGGGCGTGTTTCACTTCTTGAAGGAAATGAGCCAATGGTCACGCACACATGCTGGCACGTCCTCGTGCATGGCCCAGGGTCGTGCATGTATCGTGTCATACGGCTTATGATAACAGACAGGATGTTTTGTTCCTTTGTCTTTGGCCAGAAACGTTGCGCAAATGCAGACGTGAATGCCTGATAAAGATAATGCGAGAATGCAGTCTTGTTGTGCGTGTATTTTTGTTGGCGGCAACAAACATACAAACTCAAGTTTGCGATAGTTTTTTTCAAATGTCTGTATCATTAAACCAGATCTGTTATTATTAAGGCATTAATTGACCTGAATTAGAAAACTGACTGTAGAAGAAGAAAACTGACTGTTTATATTGATGTCCTCTATGGCGCCCCTTGTGGCAGCACTGAGAATGCAACACCTCCACATAGTTAAAAAATAAAACATTTATTATATTAGTGAAATGCAATTTTTGCATAATAATATTTTTTACTTTGAGTATCATAAAGTTGTTTATGCATTTTAATAAAAATAAAATGAGCCTAAACGATTACATAACAAATTTGTAATGTAAGGGGAGATATTAAAAAATATTTATAATTAAATCAAAAACAAATTTTTGCTAGTGACTTCTTGTGTACACCACCCCAAAGTTTCCACCCCTTTGCAACCATATTTCTGATTAAATAGGAAAAAAGTTTTTCGAGTGACTTGCCGTGTATGGTGAAGGCAAATTAATTTTTTTAATTAATTGTAAAACATAAGTGCAACTGTGTATTTTAGTGAGATAAATTATTGCATAAAATAATGTAATGTAATGGAAGACCGTTTCATCATTAATAAAATTCAAAAAATATTTTTGGGAGTAGTTTGTACTTGTAAAAATGAATAAAAATAACTGCAACTATTTGATAGTCGGAGTGTTTATAATTGCATTAACGTAGTACTTGAACGGCACTGATAATGCTTGTAATGTGAAATATGTTGTTTGTGACTATTCGTTTCTTAATGAATACTGATGCATGTGGACCTTTGGCTAAATTGCATAAAGTCTGACCTATAATGCATCTTATTCTGGCCAAGAACTGTCCACTTAGATTGGAAGTAGATCATCTGATCAACATGTAAAACGATCAATTGCAGTTTTTATGCAAACAAAAAATAAATACATTAAAAATATTAATGGTGCAGCTGCCTCTGTGAACTGTCATACAGAAAACACCAGAAAATTTTTGAAAAATGTGTCTGTAAAACTGTTTGATGAAAATGTCTGTCCATCTTGAAGTAATATAAATACAGATTATTTATTATTTACATTATTGAGTAAATATTAGTGCTGTCAAACAATTAATTGCATCCAAAATAAAAGATTTTGTTTACATAATACTGTTTATTTATTATGTATATATAAATACACACACATACAGTACATATTTTGAAAATATTTACATGCATATACATTTATATGTTTATGTTCTTATTTTATATTATATATAAATATATTTCATATATAAACAACATATTTTTCTTAAATATATACATGCATGTGTTTGTATTTATATATACATAATAAATATACACAGTATACGCTCATTTATTATGTAAACAAAAACTTTTATTTTGGATGCAATTAATCACGATTAATCGTTTGACAGCACTAGTAAATATACAGAATATAGGCTATACACAGTATGTTGAACAAATAACTTTCACTGTATTCCTCTGATTTATCTCACTCTGGAAATTAAAGAGATAGTTCAACCAAAAATGGTTTCGGTAACCAAACAGTTGATGGTAGCCATTGACTTCCATAGTATGGAAAAACACCATAGAAGTCAATGGCTACCGTCAACTGTTTGGTCACCAACATTCTTTGACATGTCTTCTTTTGTGTTCAACAGTAGAAAGAAACTCATACAGGTTTGGTACAACTTGAGGATGAGTAAATGAGAAAATTACTTTTTCTCTCTCTAGGAGGAGACAGCGTTGGAGGAGGATGTGGTATTGAAGGACCTGCGTCCGCGCTCGTGTCACATGACTATAGGCGAGCAGGGCTACGGCTTCAACCTGCACTGCAAGAAGTCGCGCGTGGGTCAGTTCATCCGCTCGGTGGACCCCGACTCTCCGGCGGAGCGCGTGGGCCTGAGGCCCAGAGACCGGCTCATCGAGGTGATGGCACGGGGTTACAGCAGCCTCCATTAGCCCAGATTAGCAGCACTGGATCAGATTAGATTCAATTTCTAGAGAGAGGCAAATTACGCTAATGAAGAGAAATGCTGTTTGCTTCGTGAGGGGAGGATCCCGTTTTAGAGCTGTGTGTGTGTGTGTGTGTGTGTGTGTGAGAGTGTGAGGGTGAGTGTGAGTGTCTGAGTGTGTGTGAGGGTGTGTGTGATGCCGTGATCGTCACCGATCGCAAATCCGTCCTAATGGATTTAATTTGCGGCTGTTTTCTGTAATTATCACAGACAGATCGGTAATTATGACTGACAAACAGTGTTTAATTCACCCAGCAGTGTTTGTCTCTGAATGCATTTGAATATCGTTAGCAAAACATGATTTATAGTCAGTTATTAACTTCATGAATTATAGTTTGAATAGTTTGAAGCACCACCTCAAATGGCAACTTGTGTAAATGTGAATATAAATATATACATGTAAATATTTTCAAAATATATACATGCATGTGTGTGTATTTATATATACATAATAAATATACACAGTACACACACATATATTATGTACACACAAACTTTTATTTTGGATGCGATTAATCGTTTGACAGCACTAATTTTGACATTTTTGAAGAAAACCACATCACAAATGTTGTGTGATGGTTGCTCTCCAAAAGTTATGTAACAACAATAATAATAATTTAATAATATAGTATATTATCAATTAATTAAAATGATAAATTATTATTATTAATGTATTTATCATTATTATTATTATCATTATGTGCTTTCCTGTAGCTCAAACAGTACATTATGGCGCTGGCAACAGTAAGGCCAAAACTTAGAACTAATTTCAAAGTCTAATTTAATTAAAAAAAAAAAAAAAATCATCTAATTTAAACGTTTAGATCTGCAGTACAAAGTGCCATTAGGAGGAAAACGGCATCTCACAAAATGCAAGATGTATTTTAGAAGCGGCACGTTATGAATAAGATTCCTCAGAAGTGTAATGACGTGGTTGTGACGCACTTTATTAGAATATAAACACCTTCCTCCTGTAAGAACCTCAGGAAGCCTCAGACTTTCACATGCATTACATCAGTTTCTGTGTTTGACCGGCAACAGCAGCCTACACACCCCAAACTCTATTATCAGACAGAGACAGCTGGAGAAACAGAGAAAAATGTCAGAGGAAAGTTTGTTATGTAAGGCTTCTTCAAAGAGAGGAAGAGGAAGAGGAAGCTCCACAGAAAGTGGAAGTAACGCGGCCTCACACTCCACCTGCTGGACAAATACTGACCGACAATTCTGTGTTGCACCTGAACATATTGAGAGAAATTATATAAATATAATTTAATATTATAATAGATTATATTAAATTATAATATTTAGTGTATTATAATATAATAAATTAATATAATCAACACTATAATAAATAGTAATATATTATAATATTGTTGTACTGCACTGTAAAATAATATAATAAATAGATAAATATAATTAATAATATAATAATTAAATAATATAGTTAAGTATAAGGAGTGTACATGTTGTGTGTCCATGATACTGGTCTATTGAGTTCTATTGGTTCAACCTCTCTCTTTGTTTTAAAGTATTGAGACAAATGATTAATTAAATTTAATATATTATATCTTTTATTTCATTAGAATAATTCTGTTACGGGGCTGACAAGACGTGAGACGTGCGGATCCATGCGCAAGCTTTTATTTAAAGCAGAAGAGGTCAGAAACACAGGCAGGGTATTAAATAATAGTAATTATTGTTACAATAACAGTCATATGTTAATATGGTATATTATTAATTAAATAATAATAAAAACATGTTGTTGTTGGTAACAATAATATTTTAACCATATAAAATATTGTATATTAATCTAAATTATTATTATTATTACACTTGGTGTTGATATCAGTAATAATAATTTATTGATATGATATATTATTCATTTAATAATTATTATTATTATTATGTTGTTAGTAACAAATTATATATTGATATATATGAGATATGTAATCCGTGGTGATATGCAACAGTGTGTAGTGCGAGAGTCAATGAAATGGAAAGGGTGACCTCTGATGGCTAGCAGACGGAAGTTCATGGACCGGATACGTAACAAATATGATATGTTATTATGTAATATAAAATAATGTTGTATTTCTTACATTATAATATAATAAATAAAAGTAGTTAATAATATAATAAATAATTTAGTTCACTACAATAATATTATATTTATTATATTATGGTTTTATTTCATATTAAAATATATTATATGATTTTTTATTTTATTAGAATCACCTTATATATTTTTATGTAGTATCAAAATAATATTTTATATAACATAATAAATAAATGTAAGTAATAATATATTAAATAATATTAGTGTAATATATTACACTAATATTAGTGTAATATTAGTGTAATATCTTAATTTTATTTAATTATAATAATTATTTATATTTGTTGTTGGCTATATTAAAATTTTATAATAATATATTATCAATGATTGGAAAATAACAATAATAAGTTAAATAGTATTTATATTATTAGTATTATTATTGTTGCTGGTAACAGTAATACTCAAATTTTAATATATTACACTAATATTAGTGTAATATTAGTGTAATATATTACTATGTAATATAAAAAATAATATTGTATTTATTATATTATATAATAAATAAACAGTTCATCATATAAAAAATAAATAAAAATATTTAAATAAAAAGTGTATTTAAGTAATAGGGAAAATGTATTATATTGTAATATAATAAATCAATTAAATTAATAATATAATAAATAATATTAAATATAATCATATTATTACATTATGTGATATAACAACAATAGTATATTTGTATGATATAATAAACATGTAGTTCAGTATAGTTGTGTATGTCGTGCTGTTCTATCTAGAGATGTATAGGTTCAGGCTCTCTTGTTTTTAATTTCGGTGTAGCTTGAGTTGGATGAATTGGGGTTCAGTTAAGGCCTGAACTGGAATCTTGCGATATATATAGTATAGAAAGTGTGCAGTAGTGAGTATTCATTCAGAGTCAGCTCTCTCCTCTGTCTGTCATGTTTGCAGGTGAACGACAGGAGTGTCGAGGGCCTGCGTCACGCGGAGGTGGTGGCATTGATCAGAGCGGGCGGCACAGACACACGTCTGCTGGTGGTGGATCCCGACACAGATGAGCTCTTCAACCGACTGCGCATCGTGCCCACATCTATTCATCTTAAAGGTACAGTGCGTGTTTTCGCATGGACAGTATATTAATAGAATTTTCCTATATGTGTCCTGGGAGTTCTGGGAAAGTCCACAGAAGGAAACCAAACGGGAAAGATTAATTTTGTATTTACTTAACCTCACCTGACTGCTACTGTGTTCACTAGTTTATGCAAAACACGGCTGATGCTTCGTGCACTTAGAAACTAGCTCTAATTCACAACTAGGCGACGTGTCAGTAATTATCTTACCAATGAATTTCTGTCAAACAGAGGACTGTGTGGACGGGCCGATCATAGAGAGTCCTGGAACGACATATCCATCTGCACACAGCCCTGTGTCTTCTTCACTGGTCCCAGACACCCCCAAGATCTCTCCACCAATCATCAACATCACACTGACTGAGCCACCAATCAGCAACGGCTCCCCAAGACACCAGAGTCACAGAAGCTTTAACATAACAATTATTAATAATAATAATAATTTGATAATTTTATATATTATTAATTAATTATTTCATCATCATCATTATTATTATTATTATTATAATTATTAGTAGTAGTAGTATTATTAATGTGCTTCCTGTAGCTCAAACAGTACTATATGGCACTAGCAACAGCAAGGTCATGGGTTCATTTCCCATTAAAAAAAAAAAAACTATACCTTGAATTCATTGATCATTAATTTGATAGCATACTTTGCATAATATATTTAGATTGAAACAATAATGCATGCAAATAAACTAGTGCTGTCAAACGATTAATCGCGATTAATCACATCCAAAATACTGTATATATTTATTATGTATAAATAAACACACACACATACAGTATATATACTGAAAATATTTACATGTGTATATACATTTATATATTTATATTCTTATATTTGATATTATATATAAATATATTTAATATATAAACAACATATTTTTCTTAAATATATACATGCATGTGTTCGTAATAAATATACACAGTACACACACATATATTATGTAAACAAAAACTTTTATTTTGGATGCGATTAATCGCGAT